GGGCGGCTTCTGTGTCCCTCCTCAACTGGCTATTTTGGTCATTTTGTTTTTTATTTCCACTTCATGTTTTAATAATTTTGGAATTATTCAAGGTTAAGTAGTATTTAATCAACATTATATCTGATAAATCGGAGGTTAATTGAGTCTTATTTCGAGTTATCTTAGTATTGTGACAAGTTAAAAAATTAGGTTTTCATAATTAAATTCACAGTATTTAATCATTTTAATTATACAATTTGTAAGATCGTTACATAAAAATTTCATGAAAGAGGGGTTTTTATGTTTTTAGTTTTCGCACCTCTGAATGATTCAGTGCTGACTGATTCAGCAAAACAGTGCTAATGATTTAGCACAGAAGTACATTCTGAATGATTCAGAGCCAGTAAACAAACAACATGTCACATTCAGAGCTAATTCATCCAGAGCCTCTGAATCATTCAGCATTTGAATCATTCAACGCTTAATCATTCTGAAGTAAACAAACAGCCCCTAAGTCTTATCAATTTTTTTCAGATATAGGAAATATATCGATCAATGAGATGTTGCATGCAACACAAAATTATATACATATTTTAATTTGAAAAAAATAATTTAAACTTATATATATATATATTATATATTTATCTTGATAAAATAATAATTTATCTACTTAAAATAGTTACCAGATTATTTTTGAAAGCTCCCTTGATGAAATGTTGATTTTTATCTTCTAACAGACAAGAAAGATAATTTCTTTACTTGAAGTCCCAAACTTTAAATGAAGAAGAAAATAAAAGAAAGAAGGAAAATAATCAAGCAAAAAAAGAGCTAATATCCTCTAAAATATCCAAAACAATCATTTAAGCATAATTAAGCCTTGTATGTAGTTTATATTATTTTTAGGTAAATTATGTTTTAGTACTTAAACTACGGTTTTGATCTATTTTAATATCTAAATTTTTAACTTTTTAAAACACATGGTTAACGTTTAGTTTTTGTTTCACTTTTGTACACTGCTGTTAAAAATTAATGGTATTACATTTTTATGGGTAAACATCGTTCGTCACTCAACCACCTTTTCACTCCTATTTTGGTACTAAAGTTTAAAAGTTTTAATTTAACTACTCAACTTTCAAATTGCTCATATTTTAATCATTCTAATTTATTTTATTAATAATTTGTCTGATGTTATTTTATCATTATTTTATTAATATTAATTAAAAGGGGTAAATTATGCATTTAATACCTAAACTATCAATATTGTCCGTTTAGACGTTTTAGTACCTAAACTTTCAAATTTTTCAAAATTATATCTAGTGTTTAGCTTTTGTTCATTTTAGTATCACACTGTTAAAAACCTAATGTGTTTAGTACTTAAGCTATTAATTTTGTCCAGTTTAGTACCTAAACTTTCAAATTTGTTCAAAATTTCACATTAAATTTTAAACAGTGGTACTGAAATGAAACAAAAACTAAATTTTAGGTACAATTTTAAAATTTTGAAAGTTTAGGTATTAAAACAGATCAAACTGATAGTTTATGTATTAACGTGTAATTACCCTTAAAAAATTAAACTTAAAGTTAAAGTGATTAAATTAGGAGTAATTTAGAAGTTAGCAATCATATTTGAGTTTGGCTTTTAGTTCTTGCTCTGTTTGTTGTTTTTTTCTTTTTCTTTTCTTTTTGGTTTATTCCTTGAGTTTGGGTGAATAGAGCAAACTTATCTAAAAAGAAAGAGAAGATGGTTGAGTGATGAATGATGCAATTTACTCATAAAATAAATGTTAGGTATTATTTTGGAAAAAAATAAAAGTTTAGATAGTAATAGATCAAAACTAATAGTTTAGATGCTAAATACGTAATTTACCCTATTATTTTTGGGGATTGGTTCGGGTCCACACCCCCAATTTCCAATATGAAACAAATTTGAACGAGAGCGCAGCAGAAACCACTGGTCAATGCCTCAGTACCAATGGTGGCACAAGCACATTCAAAGCTCGATGCGAGGTCAAATCCGTCATTATAATGAAGATGAAAAACCCTAATCCTATATTCCGACATATAAATTGGCTCGCCTCTCTCTTTTCTCTTGCATTAAGGAAGTAGTAGTCAAACAGCTTCCTCGTCGGCCTCTCAGGTTACTTCTCACCTGGATCTTTCTTCTGTTTGGTTGCTTAGAAATTGAGTGAAAATGGTCACCCAAAATCAGTTTGCTGTTTTAATTTGTTGATTTGGTTTGCAATCGAGTTCAAATTAGCTCTGTTTTTTGTTCTTTTCATCGTTCATTAGTAGCTGCCAAAATAACTGAATTTGCTGTTTTTGATAATTATGTATGCTTTTGCTTTAGTTTGAAGAAATGGTGATCAGATTGTTAGCTTAATAGTTGTTGTTCAATGCAGATCTGTTATATACTCTATCAAGTTCATATTGGTGTATGGAAATATGTGGAGATAGTTTTGAAATGTGTGGAAAACCTTCAAAATTTTGCTTTTAGAATTAGGATGATTCAGCGTTGATGTAATTCTGGGTTTTCCCTTCTTTTCATCCCATTAGTCTCAGAATTTTCCTTTAAGCTTTGCATTACTAATTCTAATGTTTTTTTTCCTTTTTCCTTCACCCTAATTTTGTTTGATTACAGGTCACTATCTTGAGTTGTAATCATGGCAGATGGATCTAAGCGTCCATCAGTGTTTCAAAAACTGCATGGGCAGTCCTATTTAATTTCCAGGCTTTCTCCTAACTTGCCTGCCAGTAATTATAATGTGTCCGGTGCATATGTCAATGGAGGAATTCATGTTGCTTTACAGCAATCACGTCAATCCACCGGGTTGGCACATGTGTCCCCTGTTTCTCCCATATTTGTACAAGCTCCGGCCGAGAAAGGTTTTTCCGGTTTTATGGTGGATTTCCTCATGGGAGGAGTTTCTGCAGCTGTTTCCAAGACAGCAGCTGCTCCAATCGAACGAGTTAAACTTCTAATCCAAAACCAGGATGAAATGATCAAATCGGGGCGGTTGTCTGAACCATACAAGGAATTACCGATTGCTTTGCTAGGACTATGAAGGATGAAGGTGTCCTTGCTCTCTGGAGAGGCAACACTGCTAATGTTCTTAGATACTTCCCCACCCAGGTTGCTTTTCACATTGTTTATCTTTAAGTGCATTCTATTACTTTTCTGCCATCCTTTTTAAAGTCTATTTGCATTTTCGATTTGTTTACTAACCAAGTTTTTCTGTTATATCCCTTGGCTATCCAATATCCAAATTTATCTTTCGTTTTGTTCTGTTTTCCTCATTTTATATCTACTTAAAGCTTTATAACTCGGTCATATTTGTCAGGCTCTGAACTTTGCCTTCAAGGATTATTTCAAGAGGATGTTCAACTTCAAGAAGGACAAAGATGGCTACTGGAAATGGTTTGCCGGGAACTTGGCATCTGGTGGTGCTGCTGCTTCTCCTTCTTTTCGTTTACTCCCTGGATTATGCTCGTACACGTTTGGCTAATGATAACAAGGCTGCAAAAAAGGGTGGTCAGAGGCAGTTTAATGGTTTAGTTGATGTCTACAAGAAGACCATCCAATCTGACGGTATTGCTGGTCTTTATCGTGGATTCAATATCTCATGTGTTGGAATCATTGTCTATCGTGGGCTCTACTTTGGTATGTACGATTCTCTGAAGCCGTTGTTTTGGTCGGTGGATTGCAGGTATGTATCTGTTTCCTTGCGCTCACAACCATATTAATAAACAGCAGCATAACCTGGAGTTTAACAGCTGAAACATACCTGGTTCTGTGTGCATTCGGTATTTACAGGATAGTTTCTTGGCAAGTTTCTTGCTGGGTTGGGGTATCACGATAGGTGCAGGACTGGCATCATATCCAATTGATACGGTCCGTAGAAGAATGATGATGACCTCGGGAGAAGCAGTCAAATACAAGAGCTCGTTGGATGCCTTCTCCCAAATCGTTAAAATGAAGGTACAAAATCGCTGTTCAGGGTGCTGGTGCAAATATTCTCCGTGCCGTTGCAGGTGCCGTGTGCTTGCTGGCTATGACAAGCTGCAAGTCATCTTCCTTGGCAAGAAATATGGATCTGGCGGTGGAGGCTAATATTATCATCATATAATAGTGGAAGGCGATATACTGCTGCCTCCTTGATGAAAGATTTAGGATACCGAATTCGAATAATTTTGGAAGGGCATACTGCCATTGATAGTTCCAGTAATTAGGATTGAATATGAAAAAGTTGGTGACGAAAAATTACTTTAGCTTTGAGTGTTGAATGTGTTTAGTTCCAAGACCATGTGTTTTGTTGGTTCTACTTGTTTTTTTTTGGTTGAGAACAATTAAACAGTGCTTTCTTTTAAATACCAATTGTTCTTTCTTGTTCAGCTTCCTCGTCCCTGCCAGTGGACCAGACAACACCAAGACATCCAAGTACAGTCCGTCTTCCGAGCTTGGTCGTCGGTGACAGTAATAGATTGTGGAATACAAAATATTTTTCGACGAAACAGAGATATTAAATCGTTTAAAAGATCAAAAAGGACTGAATTGAAAATTTTGGCATATGTTAGCTGATATGAACTATACTGATAGTCTGATACTGATAATAATGACAGAGACTCTCCATATGTTTTTTACCCATGAAGGAGGCTTGTTATCATCAGCACATCAGAATTGAACTTTTACAATGACTTTGCACTTTAATGTCATTTAAAAAATTATTAGTTGGCATCATGATTAAATCCTTGTGATAAATAAATACAATTTTGAAACACTATAAAGGTGAACAAGAAACCTTTGGGGTCAAATGAAAGACAAAAGTTTAGGGTTTAAAGTTCAAAAATCTATTTTCAAAAGGGTCGATTTGAATTATTGATAATTCGGAGGATCAAAAGGTTATTATGCCATTTGAGAGAAGTCGAGGCCTCTGCATATGTATTTATGAATATACATTTATTTGTATAAACAAACCAAATTTTTCTCTGCAACCTTATCATAATTAACTTCACTCATTTAGAAAAGCCTTAATAGTATAATTATAATAGTGTGATTACTCACTACAAAGAGATGATCAAAACTTTGATTGATACATTGTTCTTAGTTTACTCCAAAATTATTATGTTTCTCGTTTTCATTCACCACACAACTTCAACAGCAGTGTAATGCATGACAGGCAAACCCTGCCTCAGATCAAAGGTTAACAACGAAGCTTTCGGCTTTTGTGGCCGGTCGGGAGTCCCCACCGGCAATGGTGTCGGCGTCGTTCTCTCGTATGTTCCAAGCCACTTGGCTTGCATGTACTTGTGCTTCCTCCATGGGGCCAAGTGCATCTTCTTCTCTTTCATGCATTTCTTGGCTGCGACACATAATATCTTGATCACTGCTTTCAGCCTCTCTGTTTTGCCGACGAACAGTTCCGATAACATGGCGATTAACTTGTTGTAATCGTCGTTGGCCCTCGCCATTTCGAATTCGGCTCGGAAATTCAACTCGATCACAACTCTTACATCACCTTTTTTCGGATTCGATTTGTCCAGCACTTCAAGATAAGTGTGCTCGCCGGGTGGAATCTCGGTGGAGCTCTTCCACTTGGACTTGCATATGTAACAATTGAAGCCTAAGCTTTGGAGACGAACCGAGAGTTCCCTTTGGATACATTTCCGGCAATCTCCGGCCACCGGTCTCCGACAGCCGCATTGTACTCCTACCGTGTGTAGCTCCCTCAATGCTTCTTTCGTAGCTCGGCGAATTCTTGATTCTAGAGAAGTAGTTTGAAACAACGTTGCCTAAATCAACATTTATGACAAAAAATTGTTGACCACTTGATCTTTAAACCCTCAAAGTCTATGTTTTTTGTGTGTTTAATTTCAGTTATTGGACAGCGTTTACCTGAAGAAGCTGTTCTTGGGTTTCCCAGAAAATCCTCCTCCGTTTAATCTGGCCTTCGTCCTCATCTTCGCCGCCGACGAAGTCACCCAAAATTTGTTCGTCGGAACCATTGCTTCCGTCCATGAACCCAAACATTAAATCCGCAAAATCCGCCGGTCCGTCCAGGAAATCGTCGATTCCATCGGAATTCTGGCGTGTCATGGGGACCTTTTCCATTTCTCCGGCCACGGAAACTATTCGTTGCTAAGCAGAATTATTTTTGGGTTCCCCAAAACGGGGACCAAATTTATAGCAAAAGTTGCCTTCAAACGAAGACAAAAGTTATAACAAAAGTGGGTTGGGTCCTACGTGGGGTTCAACTGTCCCACGTGGACGAACGAATCGCCGGGGCCATGCAAAGGGTGGGGTCAATACTTACGTGTCGAGTGATCAATGGCTGCTGAGTTAGATCAAACGAATGATCATACGAGTTGAAGACCGAGGAAGCAGTTTGGATATGCTTTAAAAATAATGATATTCCAATATTAGGCTTTAAGTTTTTTTAATTGTTGAAACTGATCACTGTTCGTTAAACAATGATAAGAGCTGGAAAAATTGTTGTTTGGGTTATCTTAATCCTACTGGTGGGGACGAATGGAAGTTCTGCTTTTTCCTTCGGCTAAATATATTTTTAAATAAAGGTTTAACCTTTTAAAATGGTCGAATAGAGACATAACATTAAGTTGTTCATGGACAATTAAATGTACCGTTTAGCCTAAACAGTCATTTAACCGTTATAATAGTTATAAGATTTTTCTAACCGTAACTTAATAATTAAGAAACGGTTAACCGCTAATTGTTAACCATTATTAACGTTCCGGTTACATATTAGCTTACGGTTAACCTATTATTACAAAAAAAATATAGTACTTAACACATATTTACATCGGTGTAAGTGAATAAAATAAACAAGTGTATCACTTAATACAAACTTACACCGGTGTAAGTGAATAAAACAAAAAAGTGTAGTACTTAACACATACTACACCAACTTAAGTGAATAAAATAAAAAAATGTAGTATTTAACACATACTTACAACGATGTAAGTAAACAAAATAAAAAAGTGTAGCACTTAACATATACTTACACCGATGTAAGTATGTACATCTCTCAATATCTTAGTATCTAACAATAAATATATAATTATATTGGTGTAAGTATGTTTCTATATTTTTAAAGAAATTAAAAATTAAAAATAATAAAAAATATATTAAGTTACTTGTATACAAATTTTATTAAAAATATGTATAAATTATAAATAATAGAAACTTATATTAAGTTATTTATGTAAAAATATAATAAATTAGAAATATAATTATAAATTTAATTTATTAACGACTGTTGGTTAATCATTTATCAAAATTCGTAATCGTAACCTTAACCGTTAACCATCATATTTAGCGGTTCAGTTAACCGAAACTGTTTAGTATTAATGGTTCTGTAATGCCCCGGAACCCGGTTCAGTAGTTTCAGTCAACCCGAAACCCGTAAGTCAAGCCAATTAGACCTTCTAAGATAGTTGGACCAGTTCAAAAAGGGTATTGGGCTTAGGTTGATCCAATAGTTATAGGATAATGGTGTTTTTAAAAATGAGTTAAAGGGAGAAGGACTAAAAATGTAGTTTACCTGTAGTTTGTTTTAAAGGTTAAAAAGCCCTTTATCTCCCTTATTTTTCACGTGAGTCATTCCCCAAAAATATGTTCCCATTTTCTTCTTCTCCTGACTCTTCTTCTTCATTTATTCTACTTAGCCAAGATCAAGCTCTAAGGAAACCTAAGCCTAGATTGAAGCTATCAAGGTAAGAAATCTATTCATCTTCTAAGCTTCCATTAAAGCCCTTAATTTCAAGGTTTGGCTTAGTTTTTCAAAAATGAGTTTTAGAAATCAAGTGCTTTAAGTCATTTTAGGAGAGTGTTTGAGTTGTAAGGAGTGTAGCTAAGCTTTATCCAACACATAGTTAAGTAAGTAATCCATTTTTATACCTTGATTAGTTAAAGAGGTTGAAGAGAGAGTTCAAGCCAAGGGAAAAGGAAGAGTGGATCCCTAGTTGATTCAAGAAGTGTTCTAGCATCCAAAAGAATTCAGGTAGCACACTATTAGCTTTTCCATACCAGTTGTAGAATCATTTAAAAGAGGTTTAGCTTAAAAGTTTAGTTTAAGCATGTTTAGTAAATTTTATGTTTTATGTTTTTAGTATGTATTAAAGCCTTATTTATGTTCCCTTAATATCAAATAAGACTTTAAGAACGTTTGGGGACCTCACTAGGGTATTTGGGTTTGAAAAATAGATGTTTTTGTGCTTGTTTTATGGTTTCTGTAGGTAATATTGATACTATAGGGATAATATCAAAACATGTTCTTTGTTTTGGGGGTAAATATGAGTTTTCTGGGTACGAGTATCGAAACTCTTACAAGAGTATCGAAACTTTGGGTCGTAGTGTAACACCCCCAACCCGTATTCGACCCGTATACGAATCTGAGATGTCACATTGACTATTTAAAAAGTTTACATTTAGGAAAACCATAGAAAATTTAAAATTTTCATTAATATAAGGTTAACCTTTTACATTAATACGTTCAAAATATTACCAACTCGATCAGAGCATACAAACTTAATGACTTTGTTTACATGTCAACCTATTTATTACATAACAAGACATACTGTAATTTACTTCTGATATGATCTTTGAATGGAGATATGTTGTTCTGCTAAACTTATATCGGACCCTCCTGCTTTTCAGTACCTACGTATAAAACGTTTACACGCTAAGTCATAGACTTAGTGAGGCATAAAATATAATAATAAAAATAATGCATTTTCTATAAATATGAACATGCAATCTAATCATTCAATCATGTCACATATAATTCAGTGTAAATACTAATAAAATGATAACATATAATAATACAAACACTTTTGATACCTTTTATAGGCCCATGTACATTACTGAGAACTTAAGGTACGCGAGTACATTGAGGTTGTGCATATATACTGTCATCACAGCTCGTATGAGGTCCCACTATGGGCATGTGAAATTTGTTCTGAAGGACCTATGAATTTATCCCGAAGGACCTCTGTATATGTCCCGAATGACCTATATAACCCTCAACTCTTGGCATGTCAACTATACCTATAACTCTCATATCATATAATATGGGCATTATTCTTATGTTTCATATGTTCATGTACTCGTGTCATTTCTCTTGTAATCACATATGTCTTTTATTCTATTACATATCACATGAATCATATATCATTTATCAAATCATATAAACATATATATAACTTATGCATGTATTCATAATAATCATCATGTATGCATGTTCATAACTATTATACTATGGAAACTAATACAAGGAATAGACTTATCACAAGTCTTAATTCCATTGAACTATAACTCTATTAAGCACTCACCTTAGCCTCACTTGATTCGAATTGATTTTAATTCTTCGATTGTTCTGGAACTTGCTTATGCTCGATATCTACATAATCATACGTTTATAATATCCATATTAGCATTCCAAATATCATGATTTGATCCCTAATTTCTTAGACAAGAAGAACGATATAATTTCATTTCCTATATAAAATAGGTATCGGTACCCCCTATAGGGTATCGGTACCCCCCATAGGGTATTGATACATCCTTTAACTGAGGTATCAGTACCCTGCCTAGGTATCGATACCCTTATTGTATTCGATAATTTTTTGTTCAAGATGGTATCGATACCTTCCTTAAGGTATCGGTACCCCTAGGTATCTTCCTAAATTTTACTCCTGAGGCATCGGTACCTGATGAATGGGTATCGATACCCCTTGCCCAGAAATCACTTTTTAAGCCCGAAAATTCATCTTGTCAGCTTAATTTCTTCATGTTTCATTCTCTTTTATATTATTAACTCAAGTACACATACTTAAACCAATTTTTACTCATTCAATACATCATTAACCTCAAAATCCCATCTTTCATATAAAACTCGATAATCATACCAAATTTTCAATATGTTCTAATTTCAATTCTATCACTTGATATCTCTTAATTAAGTTGTTAATAAGTCAATTCCAGACTCCAACTTTATTTATTAACTCTTTTTCAGAATTTCATTTAGAAACCCCTTCTCTTTAATCTCTTATAACTTCTTCATCTTTTGATTATAAGACAGCTTAAGCTTTCCTTAAGCTTAAGTATCACCTAAGGATCAAAACACATACTTAAAATCAACAAATAATTAACTAACCAGAAAACTCACCTTTGCTACTTTGGGTTCACGGTGGAGAGAAAGAAGAAGAATGAAGAGAACTCTGGAAACTTTCTTTTCCCTATTCTACATTTCTCACATGTATATATCTCATCCCTATCACATTTTAATTCATTTCTAAGTCAAATGATCATTTTGCCCTTCCATTCATCATTCTTTGTAATTTAATCATATACCAAAATTTCCATATAAATCCCTAAACTTTTCAATTATTTATACTTTAGTCACTAAATTCTAAAATTTTATAATTTGGTCACTAAATTATGAAATTTTACAATTTGGTCACTAACCCATAGTTTGAGATGTTACACATAGTTTCAAAACTCCCAGAAAGTATCGAAACTAGATAGACCATAATGTTTAAAAGTATCGATACCTTCCTTAAGGTATCGGTACCCCTAGGTATCTTCCTAAATTTTACTCCTAAGGTATCGGTACCTGATGAATGGGTATCGATACCCCTTGCCCAGAAATCACTTTTTAATCCCGAAAATTCATCATTGTCAGCTTAATTTCTTCATGTTTCATTCTCTTTTATATTATTAACTCAAGTACACATACTTAAGCCAATTTCTATTCATTCAATACATCCTTAACCTCAAAATCCCATCTTTCATATAAAACTCGATAATCATACCAAATTTTCAATATGTTCTAATTTCAATTCTATCACTTGATATCTCTTAATTAAGTTGCTAATAAGTCAATTCCAGACTCCAACTTTATTTATTAACTCTTTTTCAGAATTTCATTTAGAAGCCCTCTTCTCTTTAATCTCTTATAACTTATTCATCTTTTGATTATAAGACAACTTAAGCTTAAGTATCACTTAAGGATCAAAACCCATACTTAAAATCAACAAATAATTAACTAACCAGAAAACTCACCTTTTCTACTTTGGGTTCACGGTGGAGAGAAAGAAGGATGAAGAGAACTCTGGAAACTTTCTTTTCCC